TGGAAAGCTCTCCTTTGCCTAATCCTGGGGTCCACCCTGAACCTGGTTCCTTCCCAACAATTAGAGCTGAGCTAGTCCTGAAGTAGAAAGCACTGGCTCGGGAATCAGCATCCCTGTTCTGATCTCAGCTGAGCCACCGATTTGCTGTGTGATCCTGGAAAGGTCACTTCTTTGGGTATATCTATCAGCCACCTCCTGCCCCCACCAGGCCTCTTGCCCCTTTGGAAAATGAAGAGCCCCAGGAAAGTTTGAAAGACAACTGACAGGAAATAATAGTTCAACAATTATAGTTGGAGACTTCAACATCCCACTTTCTCTATTAGAACAATTAGGCAAGGAAGAAGGGAAACAGAAAACTTGAACCCTACAAACTACCGAGACCTAACAGACATATAGAACAGCGCACCCAACAATAGAATATACATTCTCAAGCGCACATGGGAAATACCCAGGAGGAGATCTGGAAATTTTAGAAATATATGGAAACTGAGTAACATACTCTTTTTTAAAGAAATATATTTTTATTGATTTCAGAGAGGAAGGGAGAGGGAGAGAGAGATAGAAACATCAATGATGAGGAGAATCATTGATTGGCTGCCTCCTGCACGCCCCACACTGGGGATCGAGCCCGCAACCGGGCATGTGCCCTTGGCCAGAATCGAACCCGGGACCCTTCAGTCCACAGGCCGACGCTCTACCCACTGAGCCAAACTGGCCAGGGCTGAGTAACATACTCTTAAAAAAATAACCCAAATGAGTTAAAGAATAAATTACAAGAGAAATTAGGAAATGCTTTGAGATTAATGAAAATGAAAACAATATACCAAAAGGTGGGATGCAGTGGAAGCAGTGCTCAGAGGGAAACAGCTGTAAATGCCTACATTAAAAAAAGGAAAAAGATCTCAAACCAATAACCTAATTTTCCATTTTAAGGAATTAGAAAAAGAAGAGCAAACTAAACCCAAAGCAACCAAAAGTAAGGAAATAAATATTAGAGTGCAGATAAAATAGAGAGTAGAAGAAAAAACAATAGAATCAATGAAACAAAATTGACAAACCTTTAGTTAGATGGAGGAGAGACGATTCAATTACTAAAATCAGAAATGAAAGGGATATTACTAACAACTCTATACAAATAAAGGATTACAAGAGGATACTGTTAACAATTGTATGTCAACATATTAGGTAACCTAGAGGAAATACTAGTAGAAGATTCTTAGGAACATACAAATTCTCAAATCTGACTCAAGAAGAAATAAAAAATCTGAATAGACCTATAATGAGATTAAATCCATAATTTAAAAAACTCCCAATAAAGAAAAAGTCGACTGATGCATTCTATCAAATGTTTAAAGATGTGACATCAATCTTTCTCAAACTATTCCAAAATATAGAAGTAACACTTCCTAATTCAGTCTGAGACCAGTGTTAGCAGATACCAAAGCCAGACAAAGACATCACAAGAAAAGTGCAAAAATCCTCAGTGAAATACTAGCAAACTGCATCTAGCAGCAGGTTAAAAGATTTACTATGACCAAGTGGGATAAATCAAAGGAATACAAAAATCATTCAATATTCAAAAATCAATCAATGTAATACACATTATTAACAGGAAATAACTACATGATCATCTCCATGCAGAAAAAGCTTTTGAGAAAACCCAACAACATTTAATGATTAAAAAACCCAAGAAACTAAGAAAAGAAGGGATATTTATCAAACTGAAATAAAGGGCATCTGTGAAAAAACAGTTGATGTACTTCATGATGAAAGAATGAAGTTTTAGCCAGGGTAATTAGGCAAGAAAAAGAAATAACAGGCATCTAAATTGGAAAGTAACAGATGACATGATTGTATATATAGAAAATCCTAAAATATCCACACGAAAACTATTAGAGTTAATGAAGGAATTCAACAAAGTTGCAGGGTAAGATACATGATGAACATATAAAAATCCCTTGTATTTCTAAACATTAGCAATGAACAATCTGAAAATGAAATGAAAACAATCCCATTTACAGTAATATCAAAAAGAATAAAATATTTAAGGGTAAATTTAACCCTTAAATGTGGTGTAAGGCTTGTACACTGAAAAATACAAAAACATAAAACATCCTGTGCTCATTAGTTGGAAGACAGTATTGTTGACATGGCAGTACTCTGCAAGTTGATCTACAGATTCAGTCCAATCCCTATCAAATTCCAATTGCCTTTTTGCAGGTATGGATAAGCTGATACTAAAATTCCTATGGTAATGCAAAGGACTGGTCCCCAAATAGCCAGAACAGTATTGGAAAAGAACAACAAAGTCAGGGAACCCAATTTCAAAACTTAATGCAAATATACAGTAATTTGTATAGTATGATATTGGCATAAAGATAGGCACAAAGTCAATGAGATAGAATTGAAAAATCAACCTAAACATCTCTGCTCAATTGATTTTGATAAGGGTCCCAGAACCATTCAATGGGGAAAGAATATTACCTTCAGCAAACAGTGCTGGGACAACTAGGTATCCCAAGCAAGGGAATGAAGTTGAATCCCTACCTCACATCATAAACAAAAATTAGTTCAAAATAGATCAAAGAACTAAATGTAAGACCTAAAACTATAAAAATCTTAGAAGAAAACAACATTCGTGACCTTGGATTTGGCACTGGATTCTTAAACATGACACCAAAAGCACAAGCAACAACAACAAATTGGATTTTATCAAAATTAAAACTTTTGATAAAGAACACTATCAAGAAAGTAAAAAGACCACCCACAGAATAGAAGGAAATACTTGCAAATTACATATCTGATAAAAGCCTAGTATCCACAACACATAAAGAATTGTAACAACAAAAAGGCAATCCAATTTTTAAAATGGGCAAATACTTGAATAGCCATTTAAAATCACACACATAAAGGCAGTGCCCTCTGCGTCCTGGATCTGTCTCTTGCTTCAACAGTGTTTGGATGGAGAAAATACTTGCAAATTACATATTGATAAAAGCCTAGTATCCACAACACATAAAGAATTCTAACAACAAAAGGCAATCCAATTTTTTAAATGGGCAAATACTTGAATAGCCATTTAAAAACACACACATAAAGGCAGTGCCCTCGGTGTCCTGGATCTGTCTCTTGCTTCAACAGTGTTTGGATGGAACAGACCCAGGGACGCCCCTTCTTCCAGCCTCCGGCCACTCTCCTGCGTCTTATCCAGTCACCACCTTCAGAACCACCTCTGAGACCAGCCAACATACCGCTTTTTTTTTTTTCTACCTTAACTCATTGCCGAGCAACCATGAGCTCCCAAATTCGTCAGAATTATTCCACGGAGGTGCAGGCTGCGGTCAACCGCTGGTTGGCCAGCCTGCACCTGTGGGCCTCCCCACCTACCTCTCTCTGGGCTTCTACTTTGACCAGGACATGTGGCTCTGCAGGGCATGGGCACTTCTTCCCCGGCTGGCGCAGAAGCTCGAGGGCGCTGAGCATCTCTTAAAGAGGCAAAACCTTCGCGGTGGCTGCATTCTCCTCCAGGACGTGCAGGGCCTTCCCCAGATGAGTGGGTAACACTCAGGACGCCATGGAAGCCGCCGTGGCCTTGGAGAAGAACCTGAACCAGGCCTTTTGGAGCTGCAGGCTCAGGTTCTACCCGCACAGACCTCAGCTCTGTGACTTCCTGGAGAACCACTGCCTGGGTGAGCAGGTGAAACTCATCTAGAAGATGGGCGGCACCTGACTCACCGCCGCAGGCTGCTACCCCCAGGCTGGGCTGGGCGAGTATCTCTTCGAAAGGCTCACCCTCAAGCACGACTAGGAGCCTTTGGAGCCCAGAGGCCTTTGAGGGCCCCTCTGCATCCCCCTGGAGTCTGGCGTTTGCCTGAGCCTCTTCCCAGAATACTAGCCATTCTTTTAATCACCCTGAAACCCTCTCCCATGAGTTTGGCCAAATGAAACAATAAAGCTTTTTGCTGCAAAAAATAAAACAAAAACAAAAAGAACACAAAAACACATAAAAATAGTCAACAAACACATGAAAAGTTGCTCAGCATCACTAATCATTGGGTAAATGCAACCTAAAACCACAAAATACCACTGCACACCTAGTATGGTGGTTGTAACAAAAAAGACATGGTGAGGATGCAGAAGGGTTGAAACCCTTACACAAACATTGCTGGCGGGAAGGTGAAATGGCCCAGCTGCCATGTGAAAACGCTTGGTGATTCTTCAAAACTTTAGACAGAGTTACTATTTGAACCAGCAATTCCATCCCTAGTATAGACCCAATAGAAATGAAAGCATACGTCCACACAAAAGAGAGTGAAGGACTGACACATGTTACAACATGGATGAACCTTGAAAACAAGCTAAGTGGAAAAAAAAGACACAAAAGATCACATATTGTATGATTCCGTTTATAGGAAATGTCCAGAACAGGCAAGTCCATAGAGACGAATGTCAGTGCTTTCCAAGGGACGGTGGGAGGGGAAATGGGAAGTGATGCTTCGTAGGGACAGGGCTTCCTTTTGGGCTGATCAAAATGTCCTGGAATCAGTGGCAATGACTACACAACGTTGTGAAGCCACTGAATATGTACAGTTTAAAATGGTTACAATTTTGAATTTTGTGCTATGTGAATTTTACCTCAATAGAAATCTTTTTAAAAACCTTAATGGGCACACAAATCCCCTGGTGGATCTCATTAAAATGTAAATTCTGATTCAGGAGGATGTGATTGGGGCCCCAAGTTCTGCATTTCTGACAAACTCCCAGGTGAGCCCATACTTTGAGTAGCCAGGCTCCCCAAAGGCCCTTCCGCTGAGTCATCTTACGATTCTCAGCTTCAGGTGCCTCACCTCTGTGAGCCAACCCTGCCCTGCATGCCTTGTAAAGGAGGGCTGAAGCACAGCTGGGCTGGGGGTGCCCTGGCCCAAGCCTCCAGGGGGATGTGGGCCTCAGGGCATGGGGGTAGGTGGAGAAGGGCTGCCGCTGTAGGGTCCACTCTGTCAGCTGGGTCAGAGGAGTAGCTTTATTTGCACAAAGCGGAGGGAGGAAGGCCAGGTGCAAGGCTCAGAGGAGAGCTGTCGGGCAGGTGTATTACTTCCAGCTGCTGGACAACTCCATCTCCCGACTCACTAACGATCTGGAAGAAAGGGTGGCTCAGAGTGAGGGGTGCTGAAGGCACCCTGCCCCGCCCCCGGGTCCCGGGAACTGTGCCCGGGATCACAGGGCTCAAGGAAAGGAGGAAGCAGGTGCAATCCCTCCACTGCCCGGTCAGAGGGACGCCAGTCTTTCTTGAAAGAGTTCCTGGTGGCACAGGGGTGGTCCTTGGAAGGGAGAGGAGAGGACCGGAGGAGTGTGTCCCAGGAGCCCTGATGGGACGCTGGCCTGCAGCCACCCGGGGTGGGGGCTGAGAACACTTGGGGTGAGCTGGGGAAATGCCTGCCCACTTCTGTCCGGAGGAGGAGCTGGAGGCCTCCTGTCCAGGCTACACCAGAGCAACCACCCCACCCTGCTTGCCCAGCCCATCTCTGCCACCTGAGGCGCTCACCATCTCCCAGGAGGTCGGGGGTCGGGCTGAAGGGCCCCGAGGGCAGGTTCCAGGCCAGCCCCTCCAGCTGGCTCAGCAGGCCTTTCACTTCGGCCTCCAGGTGCTCCACCGTCTTCTCCACCGTCTAAGCAAGAGAGATGGGAACGGGGTCGGGTGGGGCAGAGGAGCAGAGGACACGAGTGGGGCCCAGTCCTGCTTCGTCAGGAGCACCTGGTGTGCAGCGGGGAGAGAACTGGCTGCCAGGGGACCTGGGCCCTTCTTGTTCAATCTCTGCCCTGCCCGCCTCCGGGTTCCCTAGATGACAAAACCTTAGGGGTCCCCTCTCTGGGGCTGCTCCTGGCATGGGTTTTTCTCTGTCATAGCTTTGGAGTGACCAGGATTCCACTTCTCTTTCAAGGACTTCATCACGGGAGCTCACATTCCTTTGGTTGCCTCGCCCCCTGGTGGTAACTCTGCCAAATGACACGTTTGGGATTTTGAAATTTTCTTTATTCAGTGTTAACTTTTTTCATGAATGAATCCCATTAACAGTCTGGTGAAACTTACAGACTCCATCTTAGAAAAATGATCTAATTGAAAAAATAATAAAAAATATAGTATTTCAAGGACCCCAATTTCATTAACATGTTATTCAAGTATTCAAAATTAAATTTTTGATGTAAAAATTTGTTTTTATTACCTCACTAAACAACATGATCCACCATAAAGTCTAACAACTACTGCAATTTTGACATATGGATTAAACTGAGTGATATGTTGAGATGTTCGAAACAATTGTAAGGGGATGAAATTACCTGATTTCTATTGATGACAAAAATCACAGTGCTATTTATACTGATAATACTACTATGGTTTGTTGTATCCTATATAATGAAGCCTAATATGCTAAGTGTCCAGTCGTCTGGTCGGCTGTTCAACGAATCAAAGCATAAAATGCTAATGATATACTAAAGCCATTCAACCACTCGCTATGACATGCACTGACCACCAAGGGACAGACGCTCCGACTGGTAGGTTAACTTGCTGCTGGGGTCTAGGCTATCAGGACTGAGCAAGACAGGCCGGACATGTCCTGGAGCCCTCCTGCAGTCCCTCCCCAGCTGGCCAACCTCCCGTATCCCTCCCCTCCCCAACCCTGATTGTGCACAGGTGGGGTCCCTCAGCCTGGCCTGCGCCCTCTCACAATCCAGGACCCCTAGGGGGATGTCAGAGAGCCAGTTTTGGCTAGACAGCAGAATGACCGGTTGCTATGATGCACACTGACCACCAGGGGGCAGATGCTTCACTAAGCCAGGCTCACGACTGGAGAGCGCAGCATCGGTGGCAGAAGCCTCTCCCACCTCCGAAGCAGCACTAAGGTTGTCCAACTGATGGCTTAGGCCTACTCCCTGCCTAAGCCGGCATTCGGGCACTCCCTGAGAGCTCTAGGACTGCGAGAGGGCACAGGCCAGGCTGAGCCCCCCCATGGGCACTCCTTGAGGGCTCTAGGACTGCGAGAGGGCGCAGGCCAGGCTGAGCCCCCCCACTCCCCGAGTGCACGAATTTCATGCACCAGGCCTCTAGTTTATAATAAATGTGAATGCTAAGGTTTTTGAAAATAAAGTATACCCAGGTTACAAACTGGCTGCATAACAAAACACAGTGATCAAATTTCTACCTTTTCACTTGGTGATTCTGCGGAGATTTCTGGCTGGGTCCCAGGGGCGGCAGGGTGCCCTGCAGCTGGTCAGCCTGACAGCCCAGGCAGGGCAGGGAGCTGGTCAGCCCAACAGCCCAGGTAGGGCAGGGAGTTGGTCAGCCTGATAGCCCAGGTAGGGCAGGGAGCAGGACTGGCCTGGATTTCCCAAATTTGTAAAGCAAGGTTGGCCGAGCCCCATAAAGCCAGCAGTCTCACAGGTGGTCCTGAAGGTGCATGTCCTCCCAGGTCACCCTTATTACCTCTTCTATGACGTCCAAGCGGCCGAGGACAGCCACATGTGTGTCACACCCCGTGCTCCGAGCTGGGTCTCCTCTGGGGGGGATGGAGGGGTCAGTGGCTGTGGAAGACAAGTCCTGTCACTGTGGGCCCCCATTTCCCTGTAAAGTGCTGGGTTCAGTGGGGGGGGGGGCCTGAACACAGTCACAGAGAGAAGCGAAGGCAGCCTCAGTGGGGGTCAGGGCAAGAGAGGGACTGCCCCCATCACTCACTTGTCTCTAGGGGCTCACCTACAGTCCAGGTGGGCTTCCTCGAGGAGGCGCTGCCTGAACAAGGAAGGGAGGGAGGGCATCCACCAGGGAGAATGGCGTGTGCAAAGACAGGGAAGCGTGCATAGCATGGCTGAGTGCACAAGCCCTGGCAGTTAGAGCGGCTGCGAAGTACAGGGTGGCTGGGAGAGGAGACTGGAGAGGTGGGTCACAGAAACCAAGCCAGAGGCCCTAACAAACCAGTCACGGTGCTTGTTTGGGGGTTTAACAGAAGGGTCACATAGCCACAGATGAATTTTTAAAATACAGAGACGGGATTGGAGGGATTTGTCTTTGCAGTAATCAGGGTAAGAGGTGAGGCAAGGGGGCAGTAATAGTAGGAATTGAAAGGAAGAAAATGAGTGGAGAGCCCGGCCAGCATGGCTCAATGGTTGAGCATCGACCTATGAACCAGGAGGTCATGGTCAATTTCGGTCATGGCACATGCCTGGGTTGCGGGCTCGATCCCTAGTGTGGGGTGTGTAGGAGGCAGCCGATCAATGATTCTCTCTCATCATTGATGTTTCTATCTCTCTCTCTGTCTCCCTTCCTCTCTGAAATAAAAAAAATATATATTTTTAAAAAGAAAATGAGTGGAGTAGCATTGACATTGGTGAGCAGTTAGTAACAGCTGGAATCCAGGAGTGCTTACATGCACACACAGTGCTAAACAAATGTACTAACTCAGTCAATTCCACAACAACCTGTTATCGTCCTTAACATACACACAGGAAATGTGTGCACAGACGGGTGACATGATCTGTCCGAGGTCACACCACTGGTAAGTGGAAGATTTGAGGTTCAACCCGTTCAACCCCTGATTCGTCATTTTTCTCCCCAATGTTGATTCCTCTTTGGTTCCTCTTGGCACCACCAACCCTCGTATGGAGGTCTCAGACCCTGGTCTGAGCTCAGGTGTCAGAGCTGGTGGCTCTGAGATGCCTGGGCCCATCGGAGTGGCTGGAACCTGGAAGAACCCGGCCTTCAGGAGGGAGGATACTGTTCCAGAAACTAAGAGAAGCAAAGAGCTTTAGGGAGGGGAAGCGGCCAGTGAGACCTAAAGCAGCCAGAGGCCGAGCAAGAACAGGGAGGAAAACAGAGCAGTCACTGCTAGATCCCACCCCCGCCCTTTCCGGGGCTGGCGGAGGCCGAGCAGGGTTTAGGCTGTGGTGGGATGAGAAGGGAAGGAGAGGTCAGAGGGGGACCTAGATCCTGGGAAGTGTTTTCAGGAAGTGTGGCTGAAGGAAGGAGAGCAGATCACAAGGTCTAGAGAAAGTGTACTGTTGTCCCTTCCGCTTTTTTACACACTGGAGAAACACACCAGGCTTAGAGCCCGAGGAACAAGAAGAAAGGAGAACTGAAGGAACGCATTTGAAAGAGGTCATGCAATCCAGAAA